AAATGCGTGATCATTCCTGCAACAGCCCACATCACAGAGACAGTCTACCCTCTGCACTCTACGCCCAGCCTTGCAATACCACAGCCACTAATCAGATGTGGCTGTTGAGTGCTTGGAGTGAAGCAAGTCCAAACAGAGATGTGCTGTAAGAGTAAGACACACCCTGCCTGGATTTCAAAGAGTCACTAAAAGTTAAAAGAATGAAGGGTATAGTTGCCTGGAAGGGGAGATACCATGATCATGAAGGGGGTTTCCTAGGGAGAGGCTCATCCTTTGCACTGTAGGTGTGCTGACCCCTGTGATTTCCCCAAATGTGGGAAACTCTACCATGTGATTTGTGGCACTGGGGACTGCATTCATGCTTTCTCCTAGGGGGAAAAAAAGTGAAGGACAGCTCATTAAAATTTTTATATCTATGACATGCTAAAATAACAGTATTTGGGGTTTAATGGTTTGAATAAAATGTATTACTAGGTAATTAAAATATATTATTTAAAAAAAATTTAAAAATGTATTTAGTGCATGGTCTACAGGGTCTCACTACACAGATCAGACTTGTACTGATCCTCCTCTTTTCAGCCTCCCAAGCTCTGGGATTACAGGCACGTTCCACCATGCCCTGTCTCAGCACGCCGCAGGGGCGGGGCCAGCATGGCCCTCCCGGGGATCAAACCCTGGTCCCTGCAACTGCCTAAGCAGGTGCTTTAATCCATTGAGCTATCTGGCCGGCCCTTAAAATATATGATTGAGAAATGTTCTTTTTTAAAAATGAATCTACTAGAAAATATGACACATGTTATATATTGCTTAGATAATACTGTTCAATGTCAATCTTTTTCCAACTTGATTATCTAGCAAACATAGACGTACGAAGTCAAATTGCTGGACATTAAGTCTCGCAAATCTGTAGTTTTGCAAAGTTCTCCAGTTACTACAGCAGCTTTTCAACATTTTCTTGTTTTTTTCACAGCAACTTTTAAAAATTTATACTCCATCTGCCCTTTTCTGCTACTTCATAACAATGGTTCTAGGCCTGGATCCCAGAGGCTGCACAGACTACAAGAGCGGACTGTACATGGTTTTGGGTTAATCTTGAAAGACAAATTCTTCTTTACTTACTACCTACTACTACCTCTTCTCTTAACCTATTAAGATATGTTTTCAAAATTTGTTGCTCATTTTATTTTTTAATTGACTAGGACATTGTATATACTTATGATGTACAACATAATGTGCTAATATATGCATAGATCCAACTAATTAGCATATGTATTATCTTATATACTAAATGGTGTCTCTTCTTGGAGAGTGAGAATACTTAAAGTCTAGTATACGAGATTATTCAAATACAGAATATATTATTGTTTTTACCACAAT